TCTATACAAACATAGATACTTATATTTATATATGGACAGATAGATAGATAGGTACAGAGCCTAGCACCAACCTTAAACCAAAAGGCCACCTGAGCCACGCCACCGTAGGCATATCATTTATTCATGTAGCCGACACAAGACGAATGCAACAGCAGCAGCAGCAGCCATTTGTTTACACCACAAGTGAATTTCCATTGTTCCATTGCGTATACGCACACGAGATGGGTGATGCCAGGGGTTGCCAGGGGATGCCAGCGGTTGCCAGGGTTGCCAGGGGCACCATTTCCGATTCCATACCCAGAGTTGTCATCGTTGGTTTTGGTAAGGTTTGTATTTTTTGTTTTGACAGCAAAATTAAATTAAATAACACGCCAGAGCGCGACAAATTAAATTAAAGCCAACAAAAATAAACAAAATGTAATTAATAATAATAGGAAATGCGGAATTCGTGCTGTTTTTCAGTGGTTTGCCTGCGGTTCTGTGGCTGTCAGGCCGCATTCCATTTTGCTTATGTAACTACATAACCAATGTACATACATGCATACATTATGTATTCATGTCTGACGTATCCTTGGCATATCACGCATACGCAGTGTTCGAGGCATGGCAGGATGAAATTTTGTACACTTTGTGAATACTTTGATGGTCGAATATGAGATGCATGCTTTAAATCGGGGCAAAAACTATGACCTTTACATTCATAGCCCAGATAATACAGATTCTTCTTAGATATAGTCTTTTGGTACAAATAAACACTTCTCTTCTACTTCCACACTCTGCGCTCCCTATCGGAGGCATCTTTATTGTTCCGAACAATAGCCGAGCCTCAAGGAGGGGGCTAGGGGGTTAAATTATCCACAAAAGTATGTGACATTTACTAGCAAAAGAAGGCGCCGAAGGACGCAGGCAGAATGAGTATGGCTTTGTTGCAAGCCAAGTTCTTGCCGGAATTAACGGTTCAATGGAGAGACAGAGATTCAACGATAGACAGGCGGCACACACACACACACACACACACACGCACACGTCCTTGTGTCTTCGTTTACATCTATGTAGGTCTCTATGCCACTTTGGCTCAAGAGCGAGAATGGGGCACGGAGTGGGGCAGCGACTGGCTGGCTGAAATGAAATGATGTCGTGCGTGCCCAAACTATGCAGCATCATTAAATCTAACGACCGTCGAGGGCTTAGCGGAGGCGGAGGTGGAGTCGGAGGCGGGGCGAGGGCCCTGCAAAATGTCTACATTTTCAACATTTTCCATGGCATTAGAAGACTTTTGATAGAAACATCTCGCAGTAAAGATATCTCGTGTGCCTGCCTCTCGTGTTACCCATTAACTTGGACTAATTGAGGAATTGGCCATTATACCATGGCCTAATTGCCATTGCCTGGCTTTTGGACACCGATTCAAGGGACTTTCAGTGGCAGGCATTTATCCAATTGATTCAATTTTCTCTGCTCCAGCCATAAATCTGAACCGCGAAGAGTCCTAAGTCCTCATTCCCTCTGGCTAAAATCAATATCTCTCTTCAAACCCCTTTATGTCTGCCACTCTTCTGCTTCATGGCCCTTGGCCTGTCTGTCCCTTCTCTGATGCTCCCCCTCAGCCTCTGCCTGGCATTCGATTGGAGATACTTTTTATACCCGATACTCAAAATGAGTATTGGGGTATATTAGATTTGTGGTAAAAGTGGATGTGTGTAACGTCCAGAAGGAATCGTTTCCGACCCCATAAAGTATATATATTCTTGATCAGCATCAATAGCCGAGTCGATTGAGCCATGTCTGTCTGTCCGTCTGTCCGTCTGTCCGTCCGTCCGTCTGTCCGTCCCCTTCAGCGCCTAATGCTCAAAGACTATAAGAGCTAGAGCAACGATGTTTTGGATCCAGACTTCTGTGATATGTCACTGCTACAAAAATATTTCAAAACTTTGCCCTTCCCACTTCCGCCCCCACAAAGGGCGAAAATCTGTGGCATCCACAATTTTAAAGATACGAGAAAACAAAAAACGCAGAATCGTAGAGAATGACCATATCTTTTAGACTGCAGAATCTGAATTGGATCGTATTACTATTATAGCCAGCATCAAGAAAACAATTTCATTTTTTCTCGCCCTGTCTCTCTCTAACACACAGGTAGCATAGGCGGCTTTGCTTAGAGTAAAACATTAGCGCCTAGATCTCAGAGACTATAAAAGCTAGAGCAACCAAATTTGGTATCCACACTCCTAATATATCAGACCGAGACGAGTTTGTTTCAAAATTTCGCCACACCCCCTTCCGCCCCCGCAAAGGATGCAAATCTGGGGATATTCACAAATCTCAAAGACTATTAACGCTAGAGTAACCAAATTTGGAATCCGCACTTCTCTTAGATCTCACTATAAAACGTGTATCTCAAAATTTCGCCCCACCCCCTTCCGCCCACACAAAGGACGAAAATCTGTTGCATCCACAATATTGCAGATTCGAGAAAACTAAAAACGGGGAATCATAGATAACGACCATATCTATCAGATTGCTGAATCTGGATCAGATCAGATAATTTTTGTAGCCAAAAGGAACAAATCAATTTGCAGTGGCTACGCAGCGCGTGACATCACGCTCAGACTGATTTTCTGTCTCTCTCGCACGCACTCTTTGTCGTGTCGTTTAATATTAGCGGCGTCTGCCGGAGGAAAGCCATACTGACTTAGTATCGGGTATAACTGTAGAGTTGCGGTGTCCGCAGCAACTCACAACGTTCCCCCTCGTTACACTTCGCTTCAATCGTTTATGGATTCTGGGCAGGAATCAAACTGAAGGACTGCCTCTACTGATGGAATACCCCAATCGAAACCCAATCGAAAACTAAAGGATTGTCGGGCATTCTCTTCTGAAGGATTCGCTTGGGCGTCTCGAGCCGAGCCTCGAATATGCCGCGACATAGCCGCGACATTTAAAACTCATTCTTCATCAGCCAAATATATGGCCAAGATCTGCTTACTGGTTTCTTATCTGCCAAAGAGCCATGGAGCCAAAGTGGTTTAATAGCTAAACCTCGAGCCACAGAGCCACGGAGCCACAGAGCCCTGAGCATTACGAGTGGTAGTACATGGAAAACAACTTAAATGGAAACCGGTACGTCGTAACGCCCACCCAGAAGCCACAACGACTCGTACCCAAACAGATCATAGAAAACAGCTTCGGTTTTGAGTGGATTTGATTGGATTTGATTAGCAGGCGGAAGTGGCGATGCAAAAAGACTCCCAAGAGGCCCACACACGCACACACCCTGCTCTAGAGTGGAGCACTGACTGATTGATTGACACTCCAAGCTGACTGATTGATTGATTGATTGATTGATTGATGGACGGCACTGCAGCGTAAAGTTGAAGCAACCCTCGCCGATTGTAAAAATACTTTTCTTGGGCCATAAATTGATGATGAAACCTGATAAAGCTTGAGGATCCGATAAAACGGTGTCTTTGGCCTTTGGTTCGTTCGGATCTAATCAGTTCTTCAGTTCCTGCGAAGGCAACACCTCGATTGAGGTGCAAATATTTGCGCCATGATGCCACGAATTGTATTCTTTATGGCACCTACTATGCGTACAATATAAATAGTTCTCTCTTTGTCGCGATAAGATATGCGACCTGCCGTCTGATTGATATATGTACCTCCTATATGAGCCCAAACATATCTGGGAAAGCAGGAAGTGTGCTAAGAACCTGATATGCTATATGATAGGGGAATTCAAGATAGCCGAGAGTCGGCAGTTCTTTCACAGGCCTCAAATTAAACGCCAGAAAGAATCAACTGCAAAGATAAATCCTCTCTGATTCTGATCCACTATCTATCGACAGAACGTGGCCGCCAGTCTGTTCCCACACCGCAACACATAGCAACACACAGAATTTACAACATAATTCACTAAAAACCGAAACAGACACCACTGAAACCACTCCATCGCCCCCGAACACTGTCGACACGGCCTGACACTGCCACTTGCTGACTTGGCCCAAAACGGAACCGGGACCAGGCCATGCAATTAGCTGGAGGTCATTGTGTTTTCGGTTCAACCGAGTTCACGCTGAACGCTGAACGCTGCAAGCTGAATGTTCAGCGGTTCAGGTTCGGTCCAGTTTCCGTTCGGTTTGCAATGTTGCGGTTCCAATAACGAAATGGGCGCGGCCTGACCCGGCCCCCGCATCGCATTTGGCAATGTTTGGACAACAATTTGTCCGGCAAATTGTTATTAAATGTGTACAATCGATTTGGGCCATTGTTCGGGCCTTAATTAACACAGGAAGAGTCACAAAGGATGAGGCAAAAGCAGGCAGGGTTTGTTCAAGCGGACATTCAGTTTCCGGCATGCAAAAACGTGATGTGCCCCTGGAAGGGATGCCCATGGAGGAAGAGGATTAGCACAGGCAAGTGAATCATCCACGGTATTTAATCTTCGATCCATTCAAAGTTTAGTTCTTTCGCTCTCTCTGGAGTTTCCCTTGACAGGCGGGCTGCCATTCAACTGTCAAATATCTCTTCTATCTGCAACGTCACGATTTTCTGGGCACGACTCCGGCAGTCCGGAGTTGGGTCTTGATTGCCCGAATTGCATTGAACTTCAAAAAGAGAGCTGTGGGCAGGGCAGGGGCGGAGCCTGCTGCAAGGGCACGTGGCAGCGTCTGGCTTGAATGCGGTGCCAATCAATGGAACGCTACATTTATTTGTTTTCAAATTGGTTTAGTATCCACAGAGAAGTAGAGACTCTTCATACTCCGAGGGGAATGCCCATCGTTAAGCCAGCGCATTTCGTGTGTAGAAACGGAGTAACGCGTATCCTGGTGTCCAGGCACGTGTGTCTCGATTCCTGTACGGCGTGAAGTTGGCTGCGCACTACCGCGTTTCACAGTCAGCATTTGTGCGATTACGGTAAACAACAAACTCAACCTCGCTTTTAGCTGGCAAACAAAGACTCCCTACCTTTTCGGTCAACTGTTTTCAATCAAAATTATTTGTGAGTTTTATTTATTAAATAGAATAATAACTTGCAAAAGATGTTCTTTAAGAAATGCTGCTTCTTTTTGCCGCTGGACACGGGGTGCTTCATCATTGCGCTGTTCTTCCTATCCTTCCATGTGGGCGAGATGGTCAGCTACTCCACCGACTGCATTTTCGTGAGAGAAACAACCGAAAAGGCGTGGGCAGTCATCCTCATGGCGGGCATACTAATGATGGGCATCATCTCCTCCGGGCTGCTAATCTACGGTGCCCGCAGGGTGGGTTAACAATCAAATCCGAAAAGGGTGCAAAGCCTAAGTCCATTTTCCTCTTCTGACTGCTTTATTTCAGAAACGCCGAGGACCGGTCCGCTTCTGGCTGACAGTCTTTTTTATTATACTTTTTTTCTACATCATTTTGGGCATTGTCGATATCGCTACAGCAAACCCGCCCGTGGTTACCATCTTCTGTGAGATACTGATCATAGGTGAGTGATCATCGATCTCCGTATCGGTCCACCCTCCATAACCGCTGGATATCCCACAGTATCGCTGATCTACTCGCTAATGGTAGTCCACTCCTTCTACATTTCCCTGAAATACGCAGACGACGAATTCGAAGATTTTGTCGCCTAATTGTCATCATTATGCCTGTGTTACTATCGAATAAACCTCGAGTTTACCTTCAAAATTCTCGTACAATATATTAGCCCGAATTGAGCATGTTATTAAGAACATGTTGCGGTTGCTGTAGCTTGAAGTACGGATGCTTCTTGGTTGCCGTCTACACGGGCCTCACCTATAGCCTGCAGCTGGTGACCCTGCTGATGTATGGACTAATCGAAGGTGCCTGGGTATGGTCCTCCGCAGGCTGTGCAGCCATCACTGATCACTGACCTCTCCGCTCCCCGCACAGAGTACGCCGAGAGTCAGATCTTCTACTTGTTTATGTCCGTGCCCTGCACCATCGCGGTGGCCGTGTCCGTGGCCTTGTTCGTGGGCGCCCTGAAGAAAAGGGCGAGACTCTTGGTGCCCTGGCTGATAACCTTTAGCGTGTTTACGATTATCTTCTTGCTGACCCTCATCGGCAGCCTGATCGCGGGCTCCACCCAGAGCAATGTGGAGGACAATCACGTCGGCTCCGGCTTCATGCGACGACCCCTAGTACAGACCTTGAACCTGCGTGAGTATGGGACGACTCAATGGATTTTAGATCTCATGCAGTGCCACAACCCCGCAGTGATGCATCTGTACGTCCTGCTGGTCGTCTATTCCCACTACTCCGAACTGCAGAATGAGAATCTGATTTTCTGATCAAGCAATCGATCAGTTTTCCGTCTGTCAACGATCTGTAGCTTTAGTGTGTTTTCCTGCTCATTCAGTTGAAGAACATACAGACAGGCTCACACCTCAGTACAAAATCATTTGCTCGAAAATATTTTTGTAATTTCAAATTTTGTGTCTAGTGTAGAAATCTAAATTGAAATCGAGTATCCTTGAGCAGCCACAACATGGCCTGTCACTGCAAGTATCTGAAGAAGATCTTTTCGAGCTGCTGCTTCTGCTATTCGCTGCGCATCGGCACCCTGCTCTTCGGGTGCGTCTTCCTCACGTGGTACGTGTACATCGTGTTCGGCACCGCCTTCATGATGGAGTGCGTCTACCCCAACGAGTACCAGCAGAAGGGAAACACCGCCCCGGCCGCCCTCAAGACAACGATGGTCTTCTCCTTCTTCGGCATTGTGGCCTCCTCCCTGCTCTGCATCGGAGTGCATAATGTGAGTAGGGTGGATGGACCCCACCCCCCGTCATAGTCCCCCATCTTTATCCCCCACCTCCCCGTCCGCTCCGCAGAACAACGAGATGCTCTTCACACCCTTTCTGATCTTCACACCAATCTGGATAATAGTCCACATATTGGTCCTGATCATGTACAAGCTCGTTCTGGTGCTGATTTTGCTGACAATCGTCACATCGGGTAACTTTTTTCGCCTAAACATTACAGATTCACGTACATCTGCAACGTTTACTTTTCAGGGGTCTTGATCTACGCCTGGCTGGTGGTCTTTTCGTACTACGTGGAACTGGTCTACGCCTACGACGAGGAACTGCATCCCGGCTTTGTTTAGAGCGGCTGACTGTCTTTCTTAATGTTTCGCCACCATCGATTATTATTCTAAATTTGTGTATGAGAAGCAAACAAAAAACGAGAGAGAGTATTTCGTTTCATGCGAATGAATGCGAGTATCGTTTATCGTCTATCGCTCGCCATAGATCTAATTCTAGGAGGTAGCATCACGATTCCAGGTCAAACATGTGTGTGTTGCGCACTTCGCACTTCGCTCTATATACAGTATGACGAGATAATGATGATGGGCTGGGGATGGGCGGGGCGGCTGGCTTTACATACCTTTGGCAGCGAGGCGAGCACCTGCTGCTTGACATCCCAGACGAGACGCTCCGATGGGAACTGCAGACACTTGTAGACGTTCAGCTCCGGCACATGGATGCGCACCAGCAGCCATCCGTCGCGCGGCTCTGGCGGCGGCTCATCGTCAAACGCCCCCGGCCCGGACGTGGCGTCCATATTGGCCGGGTTCTGTTTGACTTTGGGCGTTGGTGGGTGATACGTCGTAATTTTGGCGGCTTTTCTCTCCAACTCTCCGCGACTGGCTCCCCCGTGCGGCAGGCAGGGGCTTCTCTACAGGGTATTCTCCTGTGCGAAACAACGCCTTCCTTTCTATCCCTTCCGCTTCCTTTTTACGGCTTGCGATTTATCGATTCGATTCGATTCGATTCGGTGATTCCTTAATGGTAATCTCTCTCCCTCTCTCGGCTGCTTATTTGATTGGTCGGTAGGTTCGTATCTTTTGCTGGTGGAATGCGTTTCGTTTGGACATTTCGTGGAAGTTCGTAGAAGTAATCTTCCGTTGATTGTGACACATCATGGATCTCTAAAAAGCGAAGAAAAATCATCAAATTAGTGAGGTTACATTATATGGTTACAAGAGATCTGTATTCCCTATAAAAATTCAGATTAGACCCCAAGATGCCTCGTTACTTGGTTCTTTCGAAGACCTGGGACCTTAAATTTTCCCTCAAACGATACAAGAGAATGCCTTGGTCTCTAGTGTGACCTATAGGCCCCTTTCTAGCTAGAATATTTACTGTGAGGTCTCTAAGAGAGATCTCTCCATTTAATGGTTACATAAATCAGTTTTAAATCCCATTTATTCATTAATATTTCCCAACTATTTATCTTTACTGATGGTTTACCCATTTCCCTGGCAATTTCATTCACATATTCATGAGGCAAAGCATTTACCCCATTGATGGACTCCCCTCTCCTACTCCCCCACCGCCTCCCTCTCTCACTCTCGCCGTCACGTAAGTAAAACCCGTTTACTTCGGCGCTGCTGAATACTTAATTTGTAAATTGGTTTACATTTGCAGCAAACCGAAACGCAGCTCCGTCGCCGCCACATCAGTCCGTCAATGCCACAGGGGAGACTGATACTGCCTCAGAGACTGCCTTCCTCCAGCGACAACAAAAAAAGAAAGAGAGAAAGATAATCGCGTACAGCATAAGGCATTTCTTGTGGCAGTTTTGGGATATTGACATTTTGTGGCTGCCACATTGCGTGGCAATCGCAGTTGCAACTGCAATTATGCACAAATTAAATTCACACGCTAAACCTCCACTACGCCAGGGGCGTGGGGCGGGGGGCGGGGGAAGGGGAGGCGACATGTAGAGCAGAGCATTCGTTTGGGGCATGTATGTAAATGTGTGCCACAGCGACCCGCGCGCTGACAGTTGTCGCTTTGTGCAACGGGCGGGGGCGGGGGCGGGCGCGGTGACGGAGGGCGGGGGGCGTGCGCAGAGGTAACTGTGGGCGGAACGGGTTACCCACCAACAAGTCTGCACTTTGTCGCATTTAATTGCGAGCGTGTTGATGATTGCATTCAACTAGTCGGAGGAGGAGGAGGACGAGCAGTGGAGGAGGAGCAGTGGAGGAGGAGCAGTGGAGGGGGTGCAGAATGCAGAATGCAGAATGGAACATGGAAAATAGTGATAAACCATAATGAATGTGTGTGGCGATGTGCCAGGAAGAATGTGTGTGTGTCTGTGGTGGGATTAAATGCAAGATGAAAAGGAGCTCGCGTCAGTTGTATCCTTTGAAAAGATACAAAGAGGCTAACAGCTTACAACTAATTGGTTTAAACGGATCTCTGACGACATTTAGAAGACATTTAGACATTGGAGTTTAGGGGAAGAAGAGGGCACGTCCACGGCAGGTCCATAGAGTGTTCTGCTTGAATGAATGGCATCCAAGTTCGAGATGAGGAAAAGGAGCACCCGAAACCCCGCATACGAGCACCCAAATTCATTCGAACGCTTCGTTCACAATTTAATTTCCACTTCTAGTCTAGATAATGGCTCTGAAGGGCTACCCTGGTTCACTGCCCCCGTGAAAAAAAAACAAACAAAACCCAGAGAAAGAGAGAAAAAGATGTCACGGTCAAAAAACTTCACCGAAATCCATAAATTAAATGATAAAAGCTCGTCGTTCCAATAATAAATAAATACGAGAAATGAAGACCGCGTATAAACAGGTGACTCGGGCAAAGACAACAACAAAATAAAGCCCGTTTACCTTGGCCACCACGCACCTGTCAATCAAACCCAAAAAAAAAAAACTCATATGAATGCTCAAGTGAAATTATCAGCCACGCAACAATCGCGAGAGTCAGAGGAGACTTCTGTTTGATAAGACGGGAACGTGGCCAGGGCATTGATATTTGATATTTGATAGGGAGAGCGGCCGACGTGCGGCGCCGATAAGTCGAAAGTGGCTTTGGATTGGGCCAGTCATTGGAGTATTCTCTGCCGCAAAGTCTTTAATTGGCAACGACTCATACGCCACGTGGCCGACGCTCATAAATCGATTGGAGGTCATTAACGGCGCTCCTAATCAGGGCAGAAAGATTAAAGCCAATGACATTATGAGGTGTTCTATGGCAAAGAAGATGCGCTGCTGATTCGCTTCTGTTACCCATGATTTCCCATAAGCGAATGGACAAAATCTTCTCGAAGATGAAACCAAAATCATGCTGCTAATGGAATCTTCTTGAGACGACGGTTCTATGCGAAGTGGATTACTGCTAAAAGATCATATATCGATCTTTTATAGCGCCTGTATGGTAGGATTATGTGAAAGATCCCTCTATACTTTGGCTTTCAATGAAGTTGAGAACTTTCTGGGTTATTATTTCCGTATAATCCAGTGAGGCAGGGCACTCACATGTTCCGATATGTTCCTTCACAGGAGACTATCTCTTGTACTTTCGATCGCAATCTACTGATAAGAAGTCGCATCGAGAGCTACGGGATTCGACGGGACTGCGAAATTGCACTACCATCTCCATAGATGGCATCGTCTAGTATAAGTACTACTTAGACTACGACTATCTGTGCAATGATAAAGAATATATCAACGATCTACCGATAGTCCACTGATCTACTGGCTCTCCCTTCTCATCGGAGGCACAGGTCAGGTCAGATCAGGTCAAAGGATTTACTTGGCATTGATGGGTTTTTCTATAGCCGAATTTATTCCAGTCAGCATTTGCTTTGATTGAATTTTCAGTGCGTTTTCCGAAAGTTTATTTCGCTTTTAATTCGAAAAGTTGTGGATCTATAATGTGGTGCTGTGGTGGTGCTGTGGTGGTGCTGTGGTGGTGCTGTGGGGGGGCCTGCTTTGATTTACAGATTCTGCTGGTCAGCAAATGGCCTCAGCTTCTGCTTCTGCTTCTGCATCTGCATCTGCTCCACTCCCATCCCCAATGGTCTCGCACATTCACTGATTGGCAGCGATTTTTCACTTGAACTAATGGGAAAATTATGCTCGACCTTATGCTCGGATGCCATGGGGGACTGTCAGTGAAGTAAATCAAAATTTATGCTGTCGGTTTTTTGCCCCCCTTTTTGGTGAGTGTTTTTTTGTTGTTACTCGTAATATTCTGCAACCCCCCAGCGGCGACAGACAGACAGCTGTCTTGCGGCTGTCAAAGTAGCAACTTCTGGCCCTGTCCCTGATCCACCTTCCTCTTCTATCAGCTGTCTATCTGTTTGTCTGTCTCTCTGTTTCTCTGTTGTCTATTGTCTTTGGTCTTCGGTCTGACATTTATTTGGTTTGGACACTTTGGACACATCCCGCCGCTAAGGTGTGCCACACTCTCTCTATCCGCAGGGCCACAGACACATGACGGGTGGTGTTATTGCATAAGAAGGGTCCCATGGCACGTCCAGAGCGGCTCTCGAGCTTCCAGTATCCATTGAACAGTGAGGCAGAATCATCCAGAGTTATCTTTTCTACCAGAGATAGTCCCAGAATGAAGAAAATAAGTCTCCAGTCTAGCCTTTTCTCTCTCTCTCTCTCTCCCAGTGTGGCTTAACAATCAAGAGGTGACTGTTTTTGTATATTTCAGGATTTGTAAAAATTATATTAAATATTTAATCTAAAGCTTCATTCAAATTAGTATATATTAAATATTTAATCTACTGCTTTTTCCATATCGTTATTTCCTGTTGGTTCCTCTATCTCTACTTTTTCTTCCCTCTTTTTCCTCTTTTCCATCTGCAGTCGAAATGTTGTCATGGATTTTGGCACATGACAAATTTTGTGCGGAAACTTTTCAGCAGGGCTTTTCTGTTCTTTTTTTTTTTGGTCGAGGTTTTGGCCTACTTGAGAGCGACAGACTTGTCAATGGTCTTGAGGGCTCTCTCCTGCACTTGTTGCCTGCCCCCACCGCTCGTTCGGGCGGGGCACCTCCTTGAGTTAAGTGTTTGTGACACTCGCCTCTCCCTCCCTCTCAAGGCTTTATGGAAGGCGATGAAATTTTATTTGGGCAAAAGTGTGACCAACTGGAAATGACACGAGGCTGTCGGGGCTAAAGGTCGGGGGGTGTCTGGGGGGCGGGGGCAGGGGTCATGTCTGTGTAAATTGAGTTTTAAATATGCCACATCGAATGGGCCTTAGCTGGGATTAGTTTCAGCTACGGGTCTTCGGCCCTGCAGTCTCTTTGGGGCCCGAGACCCGTTTGTGGGTCACTGGATAGCGAGCCCCACTGCGACAATGCTGCCACAGAGTGCCACAGAGTGCTGCAGTTGCAGTTGCAGTTGCATGTGGCACTCGAACACGCCTCTACAATCGTTTATTCATAATGGTCTATGCACATTTCAAATTGGATGAAGCCACCTTTTTGGGGAGGTTGGGGGTGGGTTGGTTGGTGGTTTCCAGGCCCCAGGACGAGCCCTTATTGCGGCACACACTCTGTTGTGTTCAAGACGAATGCAAAATGCAAGACCCCACCCCCCAGTCCACCCATATAGGAAACTTAATAATGGCAAACTATTATTATTCCCTCCCTGCACTGTGGGGCGAAATGGTTGAAGATTTCACTTGTAAAACACATCTGTCGAAGGGACGTTCTAGTTCCTTTCTAGCTTCCCACTTGAATGGTTTTCGGCCCACTGTGCCTGCGGCCAAATCGAAGAAGAATATGCCATTTTGCTCGCTGATGCTGCGCTCTCTTGGTGCAGTGTTGCGTGTGCCGGAAACGGAAATGCGCACATAATTCTGTTAGGAAACATGCCAACAAAATGGCGCCCGCACCGCAGACGCAGACCAAGGACTGGTAGCGATGGAAACTTTAATTAAATAATATTAAATGCGATTTAGCCGGGAGAATTGTGACTTTTGCAACTTTTGCCTCCACCGCCCACAAACGAGGCTGAGGCTGAGGCAGAAGCTGAATACATTTCAAAGACGTTTTTGCCTGAAAACATCTCTTGGCTAATTTATTTTTGCCATTTTCTGTTTATTCCAAGAGCAGAAGGAGAACCAGCAGCAGCGGCAGCAGCAGAGGAGGAGGAGGAGCAGGAGGAGCTCACGAACGGAACGTAGCGAATGGAAAGCAAAATAAAAGAAGAGAAAACTTTAACCCCGACACTTGTTTTCCAGTCACGTTCATTTTCAATCAAGTGGCATCATTATGCTCCCCAAACAAACTCAAGATGGAATAAAAATCCGAACGAGAGAAGCCTCCAGGGAGCAGGAGGAGCAGTAGGAGGAGCAGAAGGAGGAGCAGAAGGAGGAGACCACCACCAGCACCTCAGAAATGGGTAATACAATACGAAAAATTAACTCTGACCCCAGAGCCAGGGGCCACCCCGGGCCCTTAACTCTTTCCTGTGGCCACCAGCAATCAGTCCTTTGTCGGAGAACAGAACAGAACCACCGCACAGACCACCAGCAGCAGCAGCAGCAACAACAGCAGCAAATCAACCGCCAAATCAACTGAAACTGAAAACCAGCCAAAAACCACACAACTTATTCCTACAGCCAGTCCCCCAGCCATCCCAAGTCCCACCTCCATTTAGAGAGGAAGACACAACACGGAGGAAAATACACATCTTTGAGAACTTGGAATTTATTCAAAGGGAAATGTTGCGATAGTTCTGTTTATTTGGATTGTGTGTGTTTTTGGGCAACATTTCGGAGCGTCAGAAAAGGATAACAAGAAAAGTTGTTGCCAAAGAATGTACCAAATGTAGTCAACATGGAATTAAGGCTGAAAGATGCCCATTTAAAAGGTACAACCTTATGTGGGATAGCTTTGTTGAAAGAAGAATTGAACGAAGCCCACGCCCAAGTCCACTTGCTATGAAATAGTCACCTATCACCTCAGGGTGAAAGGTGGACAGGAAGGCGCCGCACACGTGCCTCGACATCGTGATACACGCCTTTACACAGGAACACGACAGGAGTCCCAATGGAGGAGGTGCCAAAATCGGTTTTACAGTTCAATTGGAATGGTGTGGCTTGTTCGTGTAGTCCGTCGATGATTTATAGTACATTCCAGCTTCCATACAGTGAATCCCGAGGGGAATTCGTAGAATAGAATACATTTTTCCAGAATATAGAAAACTTCGTTGCATGGAAGTGCGACGAAGTACATACAATATGCATACTATTTTTATAGCAAACGAATTCGAACTCGAAAATCAATTGACAATCGTGCGGTTAATCAGAGATCTATTAATTAGGCCGCAATGCAGTGAGTCCTGCTTCACTCCAAACGAAATTTCGCTAATTTCAGCCTCCAGAATTACGTCAGAGAGCCATTAAGCCAAAAAAAAAAAAAATAATACTAAAAAAAGGTGGGATTTGTGCAATCAGCTAAAATCAAATGAAACGAAATTGAAATCGGGCGGAAAAAAAAGCTCAGCAGAACAAAATTGTATGCAAATGCAGAAATGACGTGTGTGCTGTGTGTGTGTGTGTGTGTGTGTGTGTGTGTGTAAACCGATTCGACCGGTTTCCGAGTACGAAACCAAAAACAAATGGCAACCGACAGACAGGCAACAGATAGACATGGAAACATGACCATAAAAAAGCCACAGTCCGGCGAGATTATAAAATAAAGGGTAAATATTAATAAATGTTGACTCGACCCATAAGTAAATGAAATAAACAAAAACAAATAGCAGGAGCCCCGTTCGAAAGTCCCGTCTTTGCAGAGAGAGAGAGCGTCTCTCCCGAATGAAGCGCATTGTTGATGAGCGAGATAGAAAGAGAGCAATAGAATGACGTGCTGCCCCCTCGCTGCCCTCTCATTTGGTCTTTGTTTTGTAGCTATCTCACTCTAACGCGCATTAAAGGAGGCCGCTCTCACGGACTGCGTCACATGGATCGAAAGATTTGCTCAGAGAGAGCACGAAAGGCATGAGCGAACATGCAAGAACTAAGAAGAGCATAAACACACATACTCGTATTTATATACAGATTTGACACTCACCGCTCCGCTCTCTCGCCGACGGAACACTTGTTCAGGCAGGCGTTCGATCAAGTGCAGCTCAAACTGAACAACTGCAAGGGAAAGAAGGAAAGGAAAGGTATCAGTAAGCATTCTCTCACTCCCTCTCTCTGCTCAGGATTAATTTCAATTTAACGTGTAAATATGATTTCTGTCAATTTCCTCACTAAACTCAATTTACGTGCAGCAGCAGCAGCAGCCAGGGATAGTTTCATATTTTACGAGAATGTCAGACTCCTCCGGAGGAGGACTCCTTCATCGTCATCTGGTGGCTGCTGCCTGTGGCTGCTGGGCCATCAATCATACGCCATGTGAGCAGGCAGCTGCCAGCACACACACGCAGCAAACGACAATCAAATCAATGATTGAGTGGAGTGCAGGGAGAGTGCAAGGAGAGTGCAAATCCGAGTACGAGTGAGGGACAAAGTGCTATGTTGTGGGTGCAGTGCCACCATACGATCCATACACATCCACAGCTCGGCTCCAACGCCCACAGTTTGAGCATACAAATTGCATTTTCCAATTGGCAGCCATCGCAGCGCCTGGAGCCTGCAGCCTGCAGCCTGGAGGGTAAAATTAACTTAAAATCAATTGCCATACACTTGCAGATCCTTCGGAAAATGTGGAATCTATCAGGGAATTTTACAAGCACTGGCGCACTGGTGTTTCGAATTGATTCATGGCTGATGCCAGAGCGAATCTACTCAAAGCATTCATTAGGAATTTCTTGGCAGGAAAGGCAGTAAATGAGATCAGACGTGGATTCGTTAGCATGAATTCTGAATAAGTTTCGAATAGCTGCCCCACTCGTTTCATTGGTGGTCCCACAACCGATGCCCGGCACTGTATCTGCTGCTGCTGTCTGTTGCCTTTTTTTGGCAGAAGAAAAACCACTTTATTGGGAGATTTCTGTCTGTGGTTTCGGTGTCGTGTCCCACTAATAACTCAATTTTGGTCTTAAACCAAACGCCATTTAAACCTATTGACACATTTCATTTGGCCAGAACGTTTGCGAGAGGCAGATGGATAGCAATTAGGCCTGATGACGTACCCAAAAATGTCTCGAAACTATTTTGTAAGTTTTGCCTTTCATGGTGACTCGACTTGGCCGTAAGCCAGAGCCCAAAGCCGAAAGCCAGTTTGGCCGAAAAGCCAGTTGGCGGCTGCCATAACTGGCCAGCAAACAGCAAATGATTTTTAATAACTTTGACACTCATTAAACTCAAATTACATGCATTTGATTACGCAGCTCTCTGTGCACTTAGAGGTCTCTGAATCTTAAGCCGCTTAGGTTTCATCATCATCAGCATCAGCATCAGCATCAGCAGAGGACCATATGGGGCCTCTCCCTGCCTGCTGGCTCCCCTATGATGGGCCATTAGGGGGGACATCAGGGGAGGAGCTGAGGCAGGAGCATGCCCCTCAATCAAAGTAGAAGCTACATAAATACTGTTTGCATAAGGAAGAGGAATAGCTTTGAGAAATGCTCCTTCTCTGGCTTCCCTTGGGGGCCCCTTCTACTCGTAAAACGAGCTTCCACGAAAACAGTAAAAACAAACCCCTTTTAATTTGTGTTTAATTAAAGCAAAGCTCATTGAACTGTTTGCACAAAGAATTCAATCTTTTCGATCGCCACACAGTAAAAAAAACAAAAACTCATTAAATCGAAAGTAAACTTCAATCCCAGCGGTTCCCATGAGGCGTGGCTGGTGCGAGGTTTGATAGATTAAGAGGCCCCCAAATTAATTACTCACTTTGACAGACAGACAGGCAGACAGGTGATTCCTGTCCAGAACCAAGGACCGGCCCGAGACCCGGGGCCCTTTGGCTCCAGCTAACCCTGAACTTGACATTCGTGAACTGTCCCTAGCCCCCATGTCTAGGCTGTGCCACTGTGTCGCTGTGGCCATGTGCTAAGTTCTTTTTAATTACCTTCTCGCCATCGCATCGCGGATGGCCGAGAGCCGCAGCCAAAGTCTCGCCCTGGCCGGCAATCGTAAAAAGGTGGTCGCTTTTTACGACTTTGCCAACTTGGAGGAACGTGCTCGCAGAGTGTTCAGTGTTCAGTGGATTGCCAGCTGGATCCAAGAAACGGCACGAACCTCCCGACTACCTTCACAGAAAGTGGCTTCAAAGGCAGAAGCACTTGGTAGCAGCTTCCATGAGCGCTAATGGACATCCGGGAACAGCTTCGTTTTTCCACTTGGTCCTCACAAAATCAATGCTCAGGCAAAACCCCAGCCGTTCTTAGACTATTCCACTGGAATCCTTCAATTTTTCAGAGTCTTCATTGGAACTGTGCTTCCCATTCCTCATTCCCGACAATATCTTTACGTTTAGATACACCTTGGACCTATTTAACACCTGGCTATCCTAGAGGGATCGCTGATTAGCGAAAATTCCCATAAGCGAAAGGCCAGTCACTCGTAATTTCGGCAGCAATTTCAATTCCCACACAAAATTATAAACAAATAAACGAAAACACTCACGAATATGTGAATATTGTATGATGGCCAACACTTTCCGTACCAGCACCCCCCTGCAGAAGAGATGCACGAACCAAAAAGCATCCAATTAAAGCCGAAACTATAAATCGACACTTGCCACAGAAACTGGACAAAAGACCAGGGCATGGAAAACTGTAAGCGGAGGGAGAGGCAGGAAGACAGGAGAGCGACACCGTTAGCAGAGGAGGAGCGTGGAGAGGAGAGGGGGGGGCCAATACCGTTGGCGATGACATGCAAAGTGCAGCTTGGAGGACAGCTTGCAGCCACTGCCACATGTGGCACGACAAAATCGGAAGAGGCAAGAGGTAAGGAAGAACGAGAGGAGACGTGAGACGTGAGACGAGAGACGGAAAGGGATTGATTCTCTCTGTCCATTTTGCTCGCGTCACGTGGGAAATTTTTCAAGTTCAAAGCAATTTTCCACAAAAGAAAACGACAACTGTAAAAAACAACAGCAACAGTGAAAAATACAATGAAGCATGCACTCACGTGAGACCCGATAATAATCGGATTTGGGGGGGAATCGTGAGGCGACGGCAACGGCGACCTAGGAAAGAGGAACACAACAAAATAATACCAAGAAAATACTAAACACAAGCAAAGAAGAAACAAATACAAGAAAAGGCCCTCCCCCCTTCGCCCCTCGCCCCATCTACAGTTGTGGAGCCACCTTTAAGGGGCAGAGACTTTGGTAGCGGCAGCAAACAGGTCTCCCGGGATGCCATCCATCCCATCCAGCCATCCAGCCATCCACCCATCAAGTCATCTATCCATCGATTCAATCGTCTATCCCCCACTCCCCAGTCACTTAGTGGCTAAGCACTTAATGGCCAGCGTCTTCGTCTTGCAACAGTTAGAATTAATTGACGTTAATAATGTCCCGATATCGAAGAGTTATGCCCAAGAGCACATCAAACGGCTGGCTATTGGCTTCTGTGTGCCAATCCTTGGTGCCTGCTGGAAGAACGGTTCATTCTTGACTCTCGCTAGTAGCGAGTAGCGAGTAGCGATTAGCAAGCGACGAGTAACTAGTAGCGAGTAGCAAAAACAAGTGATTTCAGATCTCAAACAACTATGCAAATTTATTCATCACTCGGCTGTACAGGAAACTAGTTGCCTGAATAGACGGACAGATGAAGGAATAGATGGATCCACTGTACATTCACTGTACAGAGTGCACTAAACATCATTTATTCGCAATTTGCTCAATGACAAAACCATTAATAATCAATTTTAAACAAATTGCATTCACCGAGAGACGCAAAAGCCACTTGAACCACTTTCGCCCACACTCCACAGTTGCACCCACTGTGTGTGCCCCTCTCTCTCTCTCTCTCTCTCTCTCTCTCTGTGTATCTGAGAAAGCCATTTACTTGGCCAGGCCAAGACATACATAATTTTAAAATTAAAAACTTTTGCTCTGCGGCTTTCAGTGGTTAGAGTGGGATTCAGTGGGTGACTCGCTTTGAATACTCGTACACCCCGAAGCCAGCACTCTTGATTGACATATAAATAATAGAGTGGCACTGGTTTTATTTGCCACAACTTTATGGCCTTATGTGGTGTCGCCTCACACGTGCACCTCGACTAGTACGCCCCTCAGGCACTGCTTAAAGCGGGAGTTTGCTACCAACCGAGCGGCTCTGCTGTGTGACGCGTGCTCCTCTCCCAGGAATAGTTTCTTAAGAAAAATAAGATGGAAACACCTTCCTCTCTGCGCCATTAGCACCCTCAATGTTCTCCAGCTCCTCTGGCTCCTCTAGCTGGGTGTTTTTTCCCCCCTCTCTCCATTTCGCCACTTGAATTGCCTCCTGCCGGAGCTGTATTCAGCTCGTGCCACTCCTGCGGCACTTTCAGCTCTTTAAAGACCCTCCAGGCCACCCAGCCCTCCGCCCAGAGCTACTTTTGCCAGCTCCTCCCAGAGTCCTCCATCTGGTATGCATTTTTAAACAATCGCTAACCCAAATAAAGTTTCTTGCTTTCTCGTGCATATTTACGAGCTCTCCCAGGAGCGGGAGCAAACAAAAAGCAGTGCACACACAAATAGGCCTTATGGCCCAAAGGAAAGTGCCAACAGCAGGATGAGGAACGGCACAGAGGAGGCAGCACTTGTTAGGAGGCTTTTTGGGGCCGGGAGAGACCCATTAATTACCACTTCTATAACCATGTAGTATTGTTAATATCTGTGGTATCTTTCTGCGGCACTCCGGTTGCTGCCACTGTTCTTGTCGCCGTCTGATTGAATGTTGTCTTTCGAGGAGCATTCCTCAGTGGCTGTTAAATAATAACAAGAACTTCTGTCGGAGAAATGTTAAACACAGCTGCAAGACATTTGATTACGCGATGGGCAAAAGCAGGTCGAAGAAGGAGTCTCCTTTCCAGGGAATAGTTTCAAAAAGATGATTCGTACGGACTAAGACCGTGGAAATGTCATTCGACTACTATGATTTCTATGTCCCATTGAAAGAGTAGTCTTTTTCCGATTCTTCATGGATTTTCCAAAGAGTATTCCATCGTCGTTGGGTATCTGCCTTGGCAGCGCTCTT